AAGAAAACATTTTCTTCTGTAATATTTCTCCCCCCATTAGCTAAAAACTCTGAATTATTAATGTGGTCAGAGCCCGTACTGCCTGTAAATCACACCCTTACCTTCAGAAACTCACCACTGGAATTTGAAATGCCTTTCAGGCTGTCACAGATGCCAATTTTTTCATCAACAAAGTTCACTAAATGCCATGTTTTGATTTTTTTCCCCCCAATATTATCATTACTCTATTATTTCTACTCGCTTTTCCTGTTCTTTTAGACAATTTGGAGAACTGCAGATGTGCTGAGCCACAGGTAATTGGTCTCAGCAGGAGGAGGAAGCTGAGATGTCTGAGGGGGACAGAGCTGAGCATCTCTGGGGGGGCTTTGGGGAGCAGCTGAGCTCATGTGGCCAATGTAGAGCCTGAAAGTTTATGGAGTCACAGACTGGGTTGGGTTGGAAGGGACCTTAAAATCATGTGGTTCCACCCCCTGCCATGGGCAGGAACACCTTCCACTAGCCCAGGTTATTCCAAGCCCAGTTCAACCTGGCCTTGGACACTTCCAGGGATTCAAGAGCAGCCACAGCTTCTCTGGGCACCCTGTGCCAGGGCCTCCCCACCCTCAAAGGGAAGGATTCCTTCCCAACATTCCATCTAACTCTGCCCTCTGGCAGTGGGAAGCCATTCCCTGTGTCCTGTCCCTCCATCCCTTGTCCCCAGTCCCTCTCCAGCTCTCCTGGAGCCCCTTTAGGCCCTGGAAGGGGCTCTCAGGTCTCCCTGGAGCCTTCTCTTCTCCAGGTGACCCCCCCCAGCTCTCCCAGCCTGGCTCCAGAGCAGAGGGGCTCCAGCCCTTGGAGCATCTCCGTGGCCTCCTCTGGACTCTCTCCAGCAGCTCCACATCCTTCCTGTGTTGGAGGCCCCAGATCTGGACACAGAACTCCAGGTGGGATCTGCCCAGGGCAGTTTCCAACATATCAAAAACAAAATCCAGGAGAGATCCAACACTTTGCTGCCACTCCCCTGAGGTGTCTGTGGCCCCAATTTCCTACAAGCATTAAAATAATGACCTGCTGCTGCTGCTGCTCTGGGGTTTGGCCACAGCTGAGCCCCTTGGTTTTGGGCAGCTCTGAAGGGATGCAAAGCCCAGCCAAGCTGAAGCTTCCTGGTGTTCAAGGAGCCAAAATTTCACTGCTTTCTGCTTTGAGTTTTTCACAGCAGAATGATTTCACTCAGCCACAACTCACCACCCCCCACCCTGCTCCCTGTTGCTATAACAATAAGCATTTTCTAATTGTTTTCAGTAAAAGGACATCCCCTATAAATCTGAAGAAAATGCCAGAAAATATTTCTCCTGTCTCGAGTTATGTTGCTGTGCTCAGACACAAGATCCCTCTTCAGCCCTTGAGATTTGTCTGGTATTTCACTTATGATTTGTGATCCCATAATTTCAGGCTCAGTAATAAATAACAGGGTGAGAGAGTTAAAAGCAAAATCAAAAAAAAAAAAAAAAAAAAAAAAAAAAAAAAAAAAAAAAAAAAAAAAAAAAAAAAAAAAAAAAAAAAAAAAAAAAAAAAAAAAAAAAAAAAAAAAAAAAAAAAAAAAAAAAAAAAAAAAAAAAAAAAAAAAAAAAAAAAAAAAAAAAAAAAAAAAAAAAAAAAAAAAAGGAAAAAAAAAAAAGAAAAGTTAAAAGTCACATTGCTATGGCTCGATTTAACAAAAAAACACACTGAGGTTAAATATGTGGAGCCATTAAGTTCTCCTAAACCCCAGTAAAATGATATTTACTTTAAATTATTTCTTTCCTCTCAAGTGTTGAAGCCCCACTCTCCATTCTGCCCATGACACTTCAATATCCCAGAGCAAAGTCCCACCACAAACTCCAGGCTTTTGATAAAAACCAAGACAAAACACACCAGGGAATGAAGCCACAGCCCCCCCTTTTTTTTTTGGCACCATGAGGATGGAAATAAAGCCCAGACAGTGAATATACAAAAGCACGAGATAAAGATCAAGAATAATTTGAGTTCTCGGCTGGCAAATGACAAATTCATCCTGGGAGAGGATATTTAAGGGTTTTCATTTCCCTCTGTGTGAGATCAGCCTGTCCACAGTTGGGATGGTGCAGCAGGGATGTGCTGCGGTGGTTGGGGAGGGAAAGCAGGAACTGGGGTGGGAAAGGAAACTTAAGTTTTGTTCTTAGAAGAAAAATTGGCAGGTTCGGCACTTTTGGAAAAAAATAATCCCCCCCTTGTGAAACACTGACTTTCCCTTTATTTACCATCCTGGAAATTGCCTTGAGAACGTGGAATTTGTCCTGTCTGACACCTCAGGATCTTGTTAGAAATGAACAATCAACAACAGCAACACAAAGAAAACCTCAGGTGACTGAAGGCACCAGCAGGAGTTTCATCACCTATTGCAATATAAGGATTCACATGAAAATTCAACACCCCCCAACTCCAAAATTCCACACTATTGGAAGAATCCAACCCTTGGCTGTGTGTCATTGCCTTTGTACATTTAAATTAGCTGCCAGTATGTATTTTAGATAAATGCTGATCTACTTAAAGAAATGGAGCATATCTCTATTTAATGACCTCTCCTCAGTGAATGAAAAATGTATTTTGTACTTCTTGCCTTGCCTGTATCACAAATTTGGTGTAGCACGAAAGGCTGGAATTAGCACAAGAAAACGTCTCACCTTGGGTTTAATGTATTGTTTTTTTAAGAAACTAGCCCAGGGATTTTGTCTCTAATTTCTTACCAATTTAGAATTTTTTTTTTTTTTTAATAATCAAAGAAAGAACATGGGGAAAAGCCAACTCAAAAGATTTTGGAATAAGCTTTGTTCTTTCGTAACAGATGAGCGTGGCTTTGCAAATCCTGGTTCTTAGTGATATTAAAGGCACAGGGCGTTTTATACTGTTTAAGCAAAGGAAGAGGGGAAATTTTTTGCACCTTTTAAAAGCTCTTTTTGATTAGCAGATCACTGTTCAACTTCCATCTGCGCCCAGAAATCAGAGCATTTATATCTGCTCGGTGTAATTACAGCAAAGCGCTCGCAGCAGGTAGAACCAGAGGGGTGTAAAAAGCATCCTGAACCTGTCCCAACCTTCACCCAGGGAGTGGGAATCCACAGCACCTGCCTGGCCCTGGGAGGGGTTGCTCCAGTTTATCTATTTGGATTTAAATTACCCCTCACCCCCATTTCTAACCATGACATTTCCAGTGAGTAAATAAAAACCTTCAGCTGCCTCCACGCTCCATGGGGGGCTCTGCTGACGCCCTGTGATCTCTGCTACTTTATCCATTGCACACTCTGGTGGGGTTCAGGTATTTATTTCATCCAAACAAGGGGGGGTGCTGGGGAAAATGCTCTTTTTTTTTTTTTTCCCCTCACTGAGAAAAAAAAAAAAGCCTGCTCAGCTCCTCCATCAAAAGCTGCCCTGGTTTGCATAGGAAATTACAAATTACGGCCCAGACGGTGCATAGAAATGGGAGAGAGGATGAGAAACCTCAGTGACAGCTCTTTGCAGTACAAATTGATTCCCTTCAGATAACAGATGTGAGTCATATCAGCAAAAGCAGCCTCTATTATCCCTGTCTCTGTGGCTGGGGGAGGAGGTGGGAACAGACCTCAGTGCCTCGGAATGGGGGCAAAGCCTCCTTGCAAGGGGATTTTAGTGCCTGCAGTTTGCTCTCATCCCTTTATAAAAGGCAGCTCTGCCTCTGGAAGTTTGGAAAAGGGGCCAAATTTTTTTATTCCTTATTCCTGACTGGGATAACGTTGGCTCAGATTGGTTTGGTGCAACTTCTACTGGAGCAAATCGGAGTGTTGGGGAGAGGGTGGGTGGGCAGCACCTCCCCTCCATCACCACCTTTAAACACTCCCCCTCCTCCTGCCAGGCTGGGAGGCAAGGGGAAATTTCCTTCCCCTTTCCAAAGGGAAGGACACCTCTCTCTGCACCTTTCTGCCTGTCCAGATTCCCAGCAGCCAGGAAATGCACTGGAAGAAATGAGTCAAAACCTGTCCTGGTCTGGTTTAATCCCCTCATTTTCACTGTCCCAGCCCTGTGAGACATCAAACCTCAGCCCAGACGTGTCAAAGCCACTTTTTGTTAGTCACAAAAGCTCGGTCTAGGTTACAGAAGCCAAACTCACGCATATTTTTAATATAAACACCCCCAGAACACCCAGGAAAAAAGGAAGATGTCAGGAGAGCTGGTGGGAAAGCTCCTTTGTGTCACCGTACCTTGGTCCCCGCTGGGGTACAAACCCCACACGTGTTTGAATTGCACTTACTTGTCTCTCCAAAAGCATTAAAGAAGAAAGACAACATCACATGGTAAGAGATAACCCAAAGCAGAGACACTCCCGTGGGCTGATGAGAAGCTCATGAGGAGTTTTGCTGTATTAGTCAGGTGAGAATAATGGTATTTTCTACAAACCTGCATCGGTGTCAAAGCGCCCCCTGATTCAGAGCAAAGCCAGCAAGATTTGTTTGTTAGGAAGCACGTGGAGTGAATGGAAGGTTTTCCACTGTGTTTGCTCAACCTCAGGTCCATAGGAGTTGCCAAGTGCCTCATTTTTATAAAATCTGTAGCTTTAATTTCCAACTTGAGAAGGTCAGAGTTCACGACCAGTTTCCCAAGGAAGTCTATACAGAGTTTTCCAATTTAGTCTCACTTGGACCCCGCTTCCAGGAGTTTCTTTTGAAGTCCTCCTCCAGCTTGCACTCAAGGAGTATATTTTGGCTCTCCCATTAAACCAGAGGTGCAAACGCTGGTGGAACATCAAAGCCATCAGCCCAGTGCACGATAAACACAGAGAACAAAAATACAAGTGAGAACGAGACAAACCATCAAATGGGGGCAGATGGGAAAAGAGAGGGGGAAATAGCTAAGGAAGGAATGATGGAAATAATTAAGGAGATGATAGAAAAATGAAGGAAAGAAGGGGAGGAAGAGTCACAGTCAATGGGTGAAACACTACAGAGTTGCTCACGATCAAATCACAAGCATCATATGACAGTGTTCCAGTCCTTCCACTGGATGTTGGCCTGGAGGATTTCCACAATGATGGGAATGATTCTTGGGAAAAAAACACCAGGTGGGGGGGGACTGAAGGCACCAGGAGAAAGGGAAAGAGGGTGGTTTATAAATACAGAGGTAGAAATGATAAAGAATCCATTTACTGAATATTGTAACAGAGAGCAACTCACGGTGAATTTACGCTGGAGACTGACGAGCTGCGAGATACAGTACCTCGAGTTTGCTTTACAAAACTGCACATGCAAAAACAAAACAAACAAAGAAAACAAAAAGTGAGAAAAGAAAAAAGGAGAAAAAGAAAAAAAAAAAACACCACACAAAATAAAAAAGAAGAAGAAGAAGAAAGAGCAGAGAAACCATAAAAGACATCGGGGAAGAGACTCGCATGGGCTGTGTCCTGTCGGATGCTGACGTGCACCTCGGGAGGAGACCAGGCAAGCTTCACAAAGTGTGGGAGCCACAGACACACCACCTTCTGGTTGAGGGGAGACAACCAAAAACGGAACCAAAGGGGTGTGTGGGGGGGGAAGAAATTAAAAGGTGAACCAAAAGCCACAGGATGGTGTCAGCACATCGTGCCTCCGTGTGCCATACTCACAGCGTGGGAGTCCTCCGTGGAATCATCTCCAGGACCTCAGGGAGAGGCCTCTGTGGGACCAGGTGGGCATTGCTTTTACAGCTGTGCTGCAAAGAGTTCTTTCCAGGTGGGAGCAGGATGCTAATTCCTGCTGCGAGCCTGGGGCACGAGGAGGAAGCTTAACACGGAGAACGTGGGCTGGGGGCAGGACCCTGGGCCACGTCCCAGCTCCAAAATCCACCTGAGCTCCAGCAGGAAGCTTCTCCTCAGTCCCTGCCTCAGATTTGCTCTTCAGAGGCACCTACCTCTCTCCTGGGCCAGGGCCAGGGATGTGCCTGAGCTCAGACTGGCCAGATATGGGTCACTGTGTCTGTGTTCTTTCAGTTCACAAGATATTTTGTAGATTCTCCTCCATCCAGTGTTTCTATAAACACCACAAATGCAGGGGGGGTTCTAAATATGGAAATCACTGAATTACACAGAAAAAGAGTTCATTCTGCCTCTGGCAGGGAATCGACATGAAACTAGGATAGATCTTGAATGAGGCATTAATTTTTTCATAGTTATAAATGATAATTTTTATCAATCTACATCATTCAGAGAACTGTCCCCAAGACTGAAAATAAAATCCCTTCACCTCCTGGGTTTGCCTTTCCAGCTGCAGCATTTTTTCTCCTGCTTCCTTGAGAGTTTTAATCTGTTAACAATCAATACCAGCAAACCAGAAGGCCAATTAAAATCTAATGTCCTTTGGATATCATATAAGCAGAGTTTTAAATATACATTTATTACAATTAATGGATTATTCTAAACAGAAATGTTGGCCCGGGTAGTATCTGTATAACACAAAAGCCAGAAGTTCAGAAACCTGGAATGAATATAAGAGAAATTATGGAAGGCATCATAAAAGTTTTGCTTGAAGCAAATAATCTGCTGAAACAGGTTAAAATATTCCACCTAAGCTTCAGTATTTCTACATTTTTATTGTGCCAAATGAAATAGGAGTCAGAGTGGGGTTGGCATGCCCTGCTTGCTTGCCAAGAAAATGATTGTTTCCAGGTTGCTCAAGCTGGGGACCTTTTTACTCCTTGGCTGGAGGCTGAACCCCCAGGATGTCAGGGAAACCCTGCAGAGAACAAGCACAAAGGGCCTCGAGAACAGCTAAGAAATTTCTCTGGCAAAACAGGGGGGGAAGAAATGCGGATGGAGGAGAATGTACCGGGCTGCCCTAATTTACCTGAAGTCAGCAGCAAGTCTTGTGCAACACCCGTGGCAATTTTGGGTTGGATTGCTGAGAGCAGATCTCCACATCCCTCAGCAGGAGGCTGGGATGATCTGTGGGGTTCATCCCAGCCCTGGTTGGTGCAAGTGCAGGATGGAGGCCACGCTCTCCTCCTGCCAAGTCTCCTCATCACCTGGCCAGATGATGTTACACAAGCGCTGCAGCCCTCCAGGTTCACTCCTCTGCTCCCACTGCTGCTTCTTTGAAACCAGAAATTGGAGTGAATTTGTGCTGGAAGTTCAGGGTATGAAACCACGAAGCAAAGCCACCTCCTTCTCCAAAGCAGAGTACTTGAGTTTCACTCAATGCTACTTACCATCCATGAGGGACAGGGCACAGAGGGTGTCTTTGGGTGGAGCTGAGTCACTGGCACACCACCAGCAAGGACAAAAAGGTAATCTTAACAGGAGGAATCACAGGACCTCACACACCAACACACTCCGGGGTGGGGGGAAAAGAAAGGGGAGAAATCACAAGCCAGCAAGAGAAAAAGAACACCTCTTCTAGTTCTACACATCCCCCAGCACAGCAGGGTCACGGGCTGGGTGTTCACACACGCTCCTTGCTGGGTCCTGTTGGGCACCAACAGCCCAACAGAGGTGTGGGAACAGACCCCAGTGTTCCCAAGACAGAGGGAAAAACATGGAGCCTCTGAGATGGAAAATGTCCTGGAGAAATAGAGCGATTCCCCCTCCCACCCCAGGCCTGTACAAAAGGGACAGGTGGCTCTGAGAAGTCGCAGTGAAGGGTTGGGCCACCTCTCTTGGCTCTTGGAGCTTCTCTCCTGGCTTTTCTAACTCGCTGCCATTGACAGGCAGTGCCCACCTGTGGGGCTGCAATTGAAGTGTCAACTGCTCTGAACAACCCTGGGAGGGACCAGCAGAAACCAGTCAGAGCCTGGGGACGAAGAGGCCTTTGGAGGCTGGAAGGTTGTCCTGGGAAGCACAAGTAACTCAGAAAAATGGCAGTGGGCGATTCCACAGTGTTTAGGTTTAGTGCCCACGTCCATGAGGTCTCTGTCACTGTCCACCACATTTCATCCCCAACATCTGGGAAGTTCTCCTGCCATCCAAAACTCACCCCTCCATACCTGTGACTGAATAATTTCCTTGGATCTGGCTACAAATGTCACCTATTACCACGTGGAATTAAAAAAAAAAAAAAAAACCAAACCCAAACCAAAGTCACAGAACGCAAAAGGTTTCGTTCAGTGTGACCTCACACAACTACCTACAGGCTCCTGCAAATTTAGGATTGCTAAAAAATTGCTATAACAGGACTTTTCCCAAGAAAAGGTAAAGAGAGGCCACTGGAAAATCCAGAGGTGTCAGAGGTGCCACAGCTCGTGTCCCTCTGGCTGGTCTGACTGGGCCAGGTGTGCTCAGCTCAGCCCCTTTTGTACGTGCCATTGGTGCATCTCTGGCTGGGATAGAAAAGGTGGAGGAGGAACCCAAACACAGGGAATTAAGGCATCAGGTTTAGCAAAAAAACAGGGAATGAAAGAGACTTTTGCATTGGGGTCTTTGCGAGCCTGGTGGCTCTTCCTTCCACTGGCACCTTTATGGTGGCACTACAAAGTTTTTTTGCCTTCTAATCACCCCCTTTTTCCCTCCCTCCTCCATTCTGGCCACCAAGGAGCTGCACCAATGGTTTGCTCTAAAGACCCCTTGGTCTGCACAAGTGGCTCAGTTCCAGAGGCTGAGTGGTCTCAATGCTGTAGGACACAGAAGGGTCTCCAACACAACGCTGGGCAAACTGAACGACCCCAAAAAACTCACCTCCAGAAACAACAAAGCAAGGAAAATGCTGAACAGAAAACAAACACACACAGAAAAAAGAAAATAATCACAAAAATAAGAATGAAACAACAGGCTCAAATTAAACACGTATTTTTCAAGGCAACATCGCAGCGATGGCAAAAGCAACGCACCACCTTGAGCTTTTAAACCTGGAGACCCACAAAATTAAAAGGGCCCCCTTTGGGGATAGAGTTCACCAGGTGAAGAGACAAACTGTGGTCAGGCAAATCTGTCACCCCGTGGAGGAGCAGGAGGCAAACCTCAGAAATCCTGGGAGATGGATGAAGCAGGAGCTACAAACAAGTGCAGAATGTTGTAAGGGAGCACTGGGAGGCAGAGGCAAGACAGATGATGCCTCCACACTACTGCAGTGATCAGCATGTTATTAAAAGAGATCCCCAGGACATCCATCAGTCACAAACCAGTTCGTGGCTCACACAGCCACCCGTTCCACGTGTGAAGGTGAAGGTGCCTCTTCAGACCCTCCAAGCTGACACATTAAATAAGCAACCAGGTTTTTATGCTTAGGAGATGATATTTTGCAGCCAACACAATAAGTTGAGGATTTTTTTTTTTTTTTTTTTTGGAGCTCAGTTATGTAAGGAGGCTGGAATGGCAGAGGAGAGCAGAGGGCCCAGCCTTGAGCTGCCCCAGGGGAGGTTTGGGTTGGCCATTGGGAAGAAGTTCTTTGCAGAGAGAGGGCTCAGCCCTTGGAATGGGCTGCCCAGGGAGGGGGTGGAGTCCCTGGAGGGGTTTGAGCAGAGCCTGGATGTGGCATCAGTGCCATGGGCTGGGTGACAAGGTGGGGTTGGGTCAAGGGTTGGACTTGATGATCTTGGAGGTCTTTTCCAACCTGGTTGATTCTGTGGATCTGTAACTCGTGCAGGTGAACTGCAGGCACGGGAAAAACAGAGGTGGGAGAGCAGGCAGAGAATCACAGGATATTCTGAGCCAGAAGGACCAACAGGGAGTCCAGCTCTTAAACTGGGATCAAACCCACGACCTCAGTGTAATTATAGCACAGAGCTGATCTCAGGGTCACCCCAGAGGATGGAAATGCCTGGAAGGAGCTTCGGAGGAGATCCACACACTCAGTCCTTGATGCAGGACTGACAAGGGAAGGGAGTAAAACAGCAAGCACAGCACCTCAGCAGTGAAACAGCACACCAGCCAGCAGGACTCTTCCCCAGGCTCAGCCCAGGGACAGCTTTGTCACCTCTGTGGGAGGTGGACAAGCACACCAGGAACATGAACGTCGTGACTGAGGGAATGCAAGTCACGGTGCCCTCTGCTAACACCAGTTTGACTCATGCAGGTAGAGAGAGAAAATACTGATTTTTTTTTTCCTTCTTTTTTCAGAACATCCATCCATGCTACACATGCCTGCCATGGAAATTAATTGTCACATGAATTTGTTTTCATCTGAAAAGAAAATGAAATTGTAGAACTGGAAAATGATTCCTCGTGAGAAAATAAAAATACAAACTGATTGGGGGGAGCCCCCTTGGCAGGAGGTCTTTGGGAGCTCAACCCCATTTTTTCCAGCCCTTGTTCACCACCCACTTAGTTCTGCAGGTGTTTTTGTTTCTCACTTCTTTGTGCCCAAGCTCTGCTTTTGTGGTGATATTTCCAGACACCCAAAATCCCATTTTCAAGCACTTTTTCACTCTTGGCATGTCCAGCTCTGGATCTGATCCAACAGGACTTGACGTGGACACGGGATCTGCTCCATCTTCAGGATCACTGTGCAGTTTAAGAGCATAAAAAGTGAAGTGATGAGGTAATTTGTGTCACTACTGGGGAAAGGTGCTTCAAACCTGAAAGCTGCCGCTGCTGAGCCCCTTTGGAGTCCACAGTGAGTGAATTTATGTATAAAACAAATTGCTTTGACATGGATTCATTAAATATCTTATGGATCAAGAGCCAGCAATCCATCCATGCACTTCTTTCTGTCTCACAAAACTTCTCCCTCGACTTTCCTCTACGCCATCATCCATTTGGGCATCACCCTATTGCCCTTAATGCCTTTTTTTTTTTTTGGTCCAAGTTAAAGCCCTGTGAGATTTGAGACGGGTCCTGAGAGCATCTGCCTGGTCCTACAGGAGAGCCCAGGAGAAATCCCAGGATGGTTTGTTGGATGGTGGCCCCACCCAGGGGTGTGGAAATGTTTGACATTCCAGCTGTGCTCCTTGAGTGTTCCCACAAATGTGGGATTTGGGGAAGATTCAACTGGAGGCAAAATGAGCAGAAATCCATAGTTTTGTGATCACTTGGAATTGCTGTCCCAAAGCTGGCCCTGTGGTACTGAAAACCAGGTGAAACAATCCTGGAATAAAGTGATTTTAAGCAACTTAAAAACGTGGTGTGAGACCTTCACTCCATTAAAGTGGGTTGTTTTTTTTCTGCTGAATTCTAAGAAGTCTTCACCTTCACTACGCTTTGGATTAAAGGAGAAGGAAATATTCATCATCATCTCACATTTTAAAACAACGGGATACCAAGAGCAAGATTTCAAATAACAAGTACCAAGAAATTAATCAAAGAACAAGAGCAACTGTCCTCATTTGGCTTCTCTTCAAGACTGGACAGGAAACCATTATAAGGAAAGGATTATATTTAAAACCAACAAACAGACACAGCATGAAGAGGAGCTGATTAAAGCAGAAACAGCAAAAATAAAATGGCAAGAAGAATAAAATAGCCAAATTAATAATCTTCTTTCCCTTCACATATAACAAGCTGGCTCCATTTGGCCCATTGTCTTTGATGAAGTGGATTAAACTTCCAAAAACGAGGGTCTCAAGAGCTTTGCACTGAGAGAATGAGGAGGGATCCGGCTGCATTCCAGAGATTTTGCAGTAAAATTGAACAGGAAATTTCTATTTTAACTCCCGAGCTTCCCCAGCCCTTGGAGGTCTCCCCTGTAAAAAAAGGGTCTGGAAAACATCAGCAGCTCTCAGTAAAACGTAAAAGTAAAATATTTTGGGGCCGGTTGTCCTGATGTTAAAATTCCAGAAGAGTTCAATGAACTTTTTCAGAAGAACCTGTTTTGTCAGTAAATCCTTGCAAGGTATCACAGAATAGAATCCCAGGATGGTTTGGGTGGGAAGGGAACTTTCCCAGGGACAACTTCCACTATCCCAGGTTGCTCCAAGCCCCGTCCAACCTGGCCTTGGACACTTCCAGGTTGGCACATCTCAAACACAGGCAGAACTGACCTCACCAACACCTGGATTCCACCTACAGATCATATCTTCAGTTAGAGCAGGATCTATGGAAAGGTGGTGCCCAAAGCAGTGTTTTCCAGGGATTCTGGTATTCCAGAACTTGTGCAGATGTTTCATCCATAAAATGCAAATTGTTGTTTCTGTCTGCAAAGCAGTGACTGTTGACGTACACGATTTTATTCACCTCAGAACTCTTTCAAACAGCAAAGGAAGAGCATTCCAGCATATTTTTCAGGCTGATATTTAAGAGGAGGCTTTTACATTTAAATTCTCAGAGATTGTTAAAGAAGAGTTAATGCATTCCATGCTCGTATTCCTCTGGTCATTAAAAACTCAAAGTGACATGTTAGCACTTCACCTGGTGAAATCTATCCTAGGACAGCTTAAAGAAAGAGAGATCCTTCTAAAATAGTTATTTAGAGCAAGGCAAAAGATGAGGCATAACCAAAAAAAAAAAAAAACACACACCAAATGAAAGAAATCCTTCATTAAATGCATGGTTAAGTGATCAGCACTGAATATTCAGTCAACCTAAAGCCCTGCCAGGAACAGAGATGGTCTGGAAGGGCTCACAAAGTACCATGGGATGCTGCAGTTGAACAGACACACAGTGACACTGAGAAACAGAACCCACGTGGCTCGAGGTCCCAAAAAAGCAAGGAATGCTTACGCTGCTATGGAAATGTTGGCTGCAGACATGGGGCTCACTTCGGCCACTTCCTTGGCCTTCTGCAGGGCCAGCTTCTGGTTGGTGGCTTCCTCCATCTCCTCCTCATCCTGGGGGTGGAGGGGAAATCAAGAGAAATCAGAGCACACAACAACAACAACAACAACAACCCCCAGAGCTCGTGTGTGACGGTCACTGCTGTGCTGGGAGAGCACTGGGAGCTCATCAGCACAGGGCAGGTTTTCATCTCTTCCTGCAAGGACCCCCAGGTAGGGTCTTGGTGCAAGCTGAGAGGAGAGATGTGAGGTTTGGCCACTTTTTACCAGGAACAGGTGTCCCTCCCAGAGCTTTGGTGCCTCTCTGGGGTCTCCTCCTCTCACCCCTGAGCGCTGGGCAAGGAGAGCAGGGAGAGCCCTGACCACGAGTGGGACATTTCTGGGGTGCACTGAGCCCCATTTAGCCCAGACCTGCGTGTGTAAAACCACCCTGAAAGGGATGTCCTGCTGAAATGCAGGAGAGAGGCTCCTACATCCTCCCTGACTTCTTGCCAGTGTGGCTTTCCTGAGGGAATAAATCCAATAAAACCCAAATGGATTTGACTGGTCCTGCTCCCAGCAGTTTCCCCCCAGATATTTCCACTCATCTCAGATGAATCACTGAGGACTCAGAGGGTGAAAACAAAAAAAGGAACAGTATTAAATATGGTCTGTAGACTCAGGCATAGAGCAAAAAGAGGGTTATGACCATTATTTCTGCACACCATGAGGATTTTAAAGCTCTGTTGGCACAGCAAGTGCCTGCAGAGTGTAATTGGGATTTATTTCCTCCTACCCAGTGTAACAACACGAGAAGCACCACTCAGATTCAAACCACAGGATCTTAAACAATGAGATGAGGGCAAAAAAAAAACCCACAAAAACAAAGTGCCTTGTTCATCTTCAGTGGTCCTGCAGGGGAAACATCCCCGAGACTTTCCAGCCAGCCCAATTAATAGTAAAATCATGTCAGGGTAAGCTCAGGAGCTCTGATGGCAACATCAGCATCACACACACCCAGGGAATAACCACATGTCACAGGCTCTTCTGTCAAACTTCATGAAAGGCCACAGGTCTCTCTCTCTCTCTCTCTCTCTCCCTGCCCTTCAACAGCAATGCTGTGAGGGAGTTTATCTTAAAATAACAAGAGCAGGCAGCGAGACAACCAGCTTTGAAACAGGAAATCAGAGGTTTATCCCCCCTGAATTCCATCTGCATAAACAGCTCCTTGCTCCGACTTTGGTGTTGTTTAAACTGAGCTCATTTGGAAACCGGTTCCTCCTTTAGAAGTAAAACAGAGAAGATGGAAAATTAAGAGGGAAAAAAATTGTTACCATACAAGTATTTTGATTTTGTTTTGTTTTGTTTTTTCCTTTTTCAAATGGTAGCAAATATAATCAGGCAATTCTTACTGTCGTGAGTGGAGGACGTGAGCCAGGCCATCAAAAAAATGACCTGCTGAGCAATTACACAAAGTCAATATTTCTCAGCTGCCAAATTGCAGTAAATTTATCAATGGTTTGGAGGCTCGTTGGAGATCCAGGGGGGTTCATGGTTTAACCCTGGCCAGCAGCTGCTCACTCACACCCACCCTGGGGGGACAGGGGAGGAAGCCAGAGGTAATTGAGGTAATGAAATTCGGGGGTTGACATCAAGACAGTTTAATAGGGAAAGTAAAAGCCGTGAAGGCAAGCAAAGAAAGGCATTAAATCCCATTTCCCATCACAGGCAGCCCTGTGATCACATCCCTCAGCCCTGCCCAGGACATCAGGGCTCCAGCACATGCAACAGCGACCGGGAAAGACAAACTCCATCACTCCAAATATCCCTCCTGTCCTCCTTCTCCCCCAGCTTTACATGCTGAGCGTGAAGCCACATGTTCTGGAACATTCCATGGGTCAGTTGGGGTCAGTTTTGTTCCCCCCCCAAATCCTTGTGCACCCCCCAAACTCCTCCCCTGGGTTCTGTAAATGCTGCTCAGCACTAATAAAACAACCCTGGGTCAGGCATCATTCCCAGCCCAAATCCAAATCCCAGTCATCAGCTACTGGGAAAAAAATTAACTCTACCCCATCCTAACCCATCACAAACCTGCAGAATGTAAGATTTGTTATGAATAAAGCCCCAATTAAAAGGCTTTTGAAGATTTCCTTTCACCCCCCCCAGGTATGTTCAAGTTGTTTCCTCTCTCGAGGAATCTCCGACAGCCTTAAAATCAAAGGCTCTTGATTTTTCTTTCTCTGCACCAAGAGCAGCAGGTGCAGTTTCTAAAATGGCTTTAAAAATGTGTAGCTTCTGCTCTATCCCCCCTGGTGCCTCAGTAATTCTGCTGGATGCCACATCTTGAAGGAACAGCAAAAACCACCCAAGGTTGTGGTAAATTCAGCCAATCCTAACTCAGAACGAGCCCACTCTTCAGCAGATATTTAATAATATTATTTAATAATAATAATATTTGTAGTATTTTAAATAGTAATATTTATTTAACAGAGTATTTAATAATATTTCTGTAGCTCCTCCCATAGAGAAATTGCAGCTCACTCCAAAAATTAATCAATTTTTTGGCCTGATATTTGACCTGAGAGGTCTCACTGGAGCTCTGATGGCAACATCCATCCATCCATCCATCCATCCCACCTCCACCACCAGCCCAGCCTGTCCCCCTCATCACACAGAAAGTGCATAGAAAGGCCTTCCCTGTAAGAACATCCCTCTTTTATGATTCCTTTCTGTTTCCTAGAGCCCTAAATCTTAATTAAAATCAGTTTATCACATGGTAAACCCCATTTTTTTGAGCTAATCATAATGATATAGATCATTAACACTGACTGGTCTTTAATAAATTCACCAATTAAAGCCCTCACCACTGGGGGGGGGAGGAGGAGGGGGATTCGTGGATGTTCAACTCTTGGTTTGGCTGCTTCAGGCTATTATTTCTGGGAATTTCTCAACCCTTTCGTACCTTTTTATGTCAAATTCACACATCCCTCCTACCCCCCATTCCATGATTTTATCCTGGTTTCTCAGGGATCACTGAGATAAAAAAAAAACCACTTTGTGCATTAAAGATATTTAGGAAAATGAAGGGTCAGTTGAGGTGGCTTAATGAGAATGAAGGATCTGCTTTATCTCAGTATATGAATTTATCTCAACCCATCAGTACAAGTGACAAAATTCATGGATTGAGATAAAGCCCATCAGGGCCAAGGTGGGATGCTCAGGGGGAGAGAAGATTTTAAAGGCAAATTCGGGGGGCAATTGTAGATTCCACCCGAATAAGTGAACGGGGAGGAAAACTTGCCAATATTTGGGAAAAAAACAGAGGGTAGAAAACCCAGAGGGATTTAGAAGAGTTCCCAGAACTCACTAGAAATGAGGTTGGCAGAGTTTGAGTCAGTGGGAAGGGAAGGGCAGCACAGGAAGAGGAGATGAGAGAGCTGGGGAGGGAGAGGCTGCAGGGCAGGTTCTTTAGAGATTGAAAACAAAGGTGATTCTTTTTCATCCCCTCGTTTCTGTGAGTCATTCCTAAGCACTGGTGAGTTTTGTAACACGCACTGGATGACCAAGCTTAAGTTAAATATAGTCCCAGTTCTGAGAACTCCTTTACAGGTCACAAGGCCCAGGTAAGAAAGGGCCAAAACGCCGTGCTAAATAAATCCAAATTATCATCCCAAAGTGGAAATCTTGAAAGTTGAAATGTTTCTGTCCTGAGGCTGCAAAGCTTTGTGTCTTCCCCAAACAGAGGCAGTTGCCAACTGCTCCTGCTTTTCCCACATAATGTGCAGTATTTACAGCAGAAATGTCAAGAAAGTCCCCTGAGATCAACAGACTCCCAAGTAACTCAGTTGTATCTCTGGGCCATTTTTGGTTTTGCATGATCACATTTACTTAGCAAGAAATCCCTCATTCTCCAGGTATGTGTATAACTGAATTACTTTTATCTTTTTTCTCTTCTTTTGCAAGCTCTGGTGATTTTTTTTTTTTTTTGATCATAAATAAAATTTAAAAAAAAAGAGGAAAAAAGAGAGTTTCTCAAGAAGCTTTATGCTTTAGCCAAGCTGCTGAATCCATCAATATTTAATTATACTTTATAAACATCAACAAAGTCAGGTTTTTAAGTGTCCCTGTCAGCTGCTGAAATATTCACAAGAAAGCACTTAAAGGATTAAGAAAGAAGCAGGGATGAGCTTCCTTATCCAAGAATTGTGCTGGGCCTGATCCTCTCTCTTAGCACATGCAAGGGATTCCCATAAATCTGGCAGGATCTGTGCCTCCAGGCTGCAGATTTCTGGGAGTGTTTGTTAGAAAGAATAGAAACAGCTGAGCTGCTGAAAGGGAAAAACTTCCCAGAAAAAAAAAATAAACAAAAAAACCCAAAGAGCCATTAAATGCAGCCCTGAGCTGATTGGGAGAGAAGGGGGGATGAGGAACATGGCCTGAGACACAGGAATATTTATCTGACACCTGAAAGTACAGTCTGGGCTGGATACTGGATGTCAGGAAACACTCTCCAGGCAAAGCTGGGAGCTGGAGCTACTCCTGCAGCTCCACAGAGGGGACAACAAGCTGGGAAAGACAAGCTCAGCCACAACAGGGAGGTGGATTCTGACTTGGGGGGCGGGAAACTCCCAGAAATCTGTGTGTCCCCGAGCTGTGGAGGTGCAGGTGTATCCACAGAAGCACTGAGGTCCAGGATCATCACATCTGACCACATATTAGAGATACTCTCATGGAAAGGAGATCCATCAGAAGACCCAGGAGCATAAAAGGGAATTTTGGGGAATGGAGTGCACCCAAATGACCACCAAAGACCCTGGAAAGACTCCTACATCCAAATAAATTCACTGGAATAATTAGCCTATATTAATGTATTAACAAAACATAATTAATATGCATTATAAATGTGATGAATATGTATTATTTCCATGAATATAACCTGGGCTGTGGGGTTGCTGCTCACGAAACTTTGAGGAATAATCCCCATGCTCCCAGCACTGCAACAGAGTATTGTTGGCTTTCCAACCCCCAAAAAAGCTGGTTGCAGAGTTTATTTCCCAGTTTTCAGTGGCAGCAGCAGCACAGTAATGGGGGTTCATGGTTTTAGCAGTGAGAAAAAACTGGAAATCTGCAAAACGTGCAAAAAAAAAAACCCCTCATGCTGCTCATAAACACCTGTGAGTGTGGTACAATGAGAAACCCAAAGTACATAATAATACAAATATCAGGGGCAGCACACTTGAAATCCTTCTTGTGCAATACTGAGCCTGTCAGTTTTATATATATATATATACATACACACAAAATTCTGCATACACTAAAGCTACATCGGTGTCATCGCCATCTCTTGCCAGGGCCTGTGCTCAGGTTGGGGTTTCTCTTCCCCTGGTGAGGGGCAGGAAGGTTTAACACCTGCACTGGCTGTTCCAAACACCCTCTGCAAGCTCCAGGGGGCTGACTGGAAAATTTTAATTCTTTAATCCACCCCAAACCTCAGCGAGGGAAGAAACACGAGTGCGAGACGGCAAAGGCGGCAACACAACACCTGCCTTTGCTCATTCAAACCTGGGAATTGCTTCTGCTCTGCTCTTGGAAACAGCAAAAGTGCCTGAGCACCTCCCCACAGCAGTGAGATGAGCAATGCCCGCTGCCGCTAAAACAAAGGAAAGGGCACAAAATATTCACTGCAACGAGCCTGGAATGAAACAAAAACCCCAAGGAGAATAAACAGAAAACTGGAAAAAAGAGGTATGGCATGAGCAGGCTCAGGGAAGCTGGCAGGGTGTAATTTTGGGTCATCAGCTGCCTTCTGAGTTGGAAGAAACAGGAATGTGGCACGTACGTACCTTGGTCAGCTCCTGGGCGTTGGCCAGGTTGTCCACAGCGATGGCCAAGAAGACGTTCAGGAGGGTGTCTTTTTGGGGGGGGCAGATAAGGAAAAACTCCTCACCCAGCGGGTACAGCAAAATGTTCCCCTCTGCTGCCACCACCCTGCTTTCCCCACTTATGGATTATGTGTTGTGGATTGACCCCCTGCATTCCCGAGCCACCCCCTCTGCCTGGAGCTCTGCAGCCCAGGAGGGGCTGGATGTCCCTTGATCTCCTCCCCAGCACCTGTCCCTGCTGGGGACACACACAGGGGCTGAGCAGGGGGGCTTTACAACCCTTAGGGACACCACAGCCCCCAGTTTTTCACTCTGGAGACCCCCCCTCCACCCCTGCCCACACACCCCTTCATTCCCCCCCCTCCACACACACACTTTGTTTAAAAGGACAACCAGTTGAGCTGCAGGAAATGGGTCATTTTAAAGCCAATATTTGCAGAATAAATACCCAGAGCTACACAAAGGTGTTGGGTGGCAGAGAAGATGAAGCTCAGTCGCTGCTGGGTTACAGTGCTGGGAAAAAAAAAAAAAAACACCCTGGCTTGTCCTGCTGAAGTCCACAATGGACAATGGGAGCATCCTGGCCATCCTCCACCCCCAGTGCTGCAGCCCCAGCTCCAGGAGAGCCTGGGAGCAGGACACCCATTCCCAGGTAATGAGCTCTGCTGGGAAACAGGCTGTGAGTCCAGCCCAAATTGCAGCAAGCCCAGCTAAACAAGGGCAGTGCCCACGCCTGGCTGGTCCCTCTGCACAGCCCTGCATTAGATCACTGAGACACAGCATGGGCCTCTGATTATTTATTCATGTTGTATTTTCATTTTTTCCACCTAATGATTTCAGCCATGGGTTGTTTTATTGTATTCATTCCAGCTCTGTGTCTGCAAAGCAGCCCCAAAGCAACCATAAATCAGGAAACTTTGCCTGGGAGAGGAGGGCAAGCAAAGCAAAACCGAGTTGAAACGACTCTCCCAAGGACAAAAGGCATTTTGCTCTTGCACATTACCTGGTGACAGGAGAGTCACTCACTCCAGAGCTGTGGAAAGTTGTGTTTGCTCCTCCTAATAGGAATGGACATGAGAATGGAGTTGATCTCAGGAGTATGGACCCTCTGGAGATCTAAAAGGCTTTAGCAACCAAGTGGTGCTTCTGTTTGCACTGCAGGGTCCTCACCAGAGCCAAACGTGGGGCTGGGACCAGCTGCAGGTCCCCCGTGGAAGGACTTCAGGAAACTAATCCAGGTATTTGTAGGGGGCTCCAGGACAGCTGGAGAAGGACTTTGGACAAGGGCCTGGAGTGACAGGACAGGGGTGAATGGCTTAAACTTGACAGAGGGCAGGGTTAGATGGGATATCGGGGAGAAATCCTTTCCTGTGAGGGTGGGGAGGTTCTGGCACAGGTTGCCCAGAGAAGCTGTGGCTGCCCCATCCCTGGAAGTGTCCAAGGCCAGGTTGGAGTTACCTGGGCTGGTGGAAGGTGTCCCTGCCCATGGCAGGGGGTGGAATGGAATTGGGTCCCTCCCAACCCAAACCAGTGTGGGATTCTCTGTTGGGTTGAAGTGTCCCCTGCTCTGTCCTAGCTCAGGGCAATGCTGAGTGAGGGCAGCACAGGGGGTGAGGATGGGGAGCTGGGGGAGCCACAAATCCCTCCTGTGAGGGGAGGAGAGGTGAGGGATGAGCTCCCAGAGTGCTGCCAATCTGCAACAAGATTTTGGGAAACCTTGGCCTCAGTGCCCCTCCCTTGCTTTCCCTTCCTCAGGAGACCTCCTGGTGGAGGCACCTGAGGTTTCTCTGCAGGCAGAGGAGCCAAGAGTGGGGCCAGGCTGATTCACCACCTGCAGCTGTATCTCCCAAACAAGGCTGTGCCCAGAACCCCTCATGTCCCAGCAGGCCCCACCTTGGCTCGGGCACTGTTGGCTGCAGAGCTCTGGTCCCACATGGCCGTGGCACCAGGAGACTTCCCAAGGCAGCCAGGGACCAAAGCTGGCCCAAACAGTGATCTCAAAGCCTCTTTGCTTCCCCTCTCAAGAGCTTTTACCAAACCTAATTCAGCCAAGACTTCAGACCCAGGCATTCCCATCTCTAGTTCCCATTGGGATGAGCGTCCCCAGAGCCTGATGTCCATCAAACCTGGAGCCTGTGCCTGTGCCAGTGGGAAGCAGGAGTTGTATTAATCTCTTAGGATGCATCTGCATCCTCCCTGACTGCCAAACCCCGCAGGGGAGGGGATGCAGAGCCCTGGGGTTTCTCCAGCCAGGAACCACGTCATCCATCGGTTTTTCTCCATCTCATGTGACATGGGATGGAGGTTTTTACCAGCTGGAGACAAATCCTCTGGGACAGACAGAGGTTTGAAACATGAAGCCCATAAACTGCTCCTTCCCTCATTCCAGGAGGGCAGGGAGTGGTGTGGGTGGGAGCACCTCGATCCCAGAGAGCCCAGGAAAAGATGATGCTGGAATTATCGCCCCCTCCCACACTCGCTCAACATTTCACTTGCAAAGATATTAAATCCCCCATTTCCTTTGAGCTGAGGGCTGGTTTGCAGGTGGAGGGACAGAGGTAGCAGACAGGGGGGCTGAGGCACCACTGGGGTGCTGGTCTGTGCTGGGTGTTTGGGTTTCTTCCTCTGGGGTGCTTCCAACGTGCTGGAAGCACTTCCAAACCTCCTACTCCGGGAATAAATGTCTCAGCAATAAAACTGTCTTCCTACCCCTGCCTCCCACACACACACATGCTCAGAGTGTCTCGTGTAACAGAAGCAACCACTGGAAATATAATTAATTTTTTTTGTTGTTGTTTTATCAGATCAGGCTGTTTTGATCCGTTTCCAAGCAGACACAGTCTGGCAGACTTGGGTGTTTCTGCCCTCAGAAAAAGGTCCTTCAGTCCTTTCTGCAGAGCTGTGGGATTCCCAAATATCCCCCAAACTCCAGGCTCTGACTCAGAGCCTGGGACAGGATGGATCTTCTGCCCAGCAGTTGAAGGGCAGCACCTCCAGGCAGTTCCTGCTTTTCTTTTCAGGCTCCTCTGCAGTTTTGTTTTGGTTTTTTTTTTCCCCTCAACAGATGCCTCCATTTATCAATTAACTAGACAGCAATGAATACAGGCATGGTGTCATTTCCTAGCAAATGGGCCAAATCCTGCTGCTACTCCAGTGACACCACTTCCATTAAACCCTTTGTGGTTCCCCACAGACTCGCTGCAACTGGAAACATGAAGTGAGACACTCCTGACTTAGAAAAACAAACTTCCAGGATCTTTGCCTTGCGATGATCCCTTGAAAAAGTAAATTGGATCCGAAGGAAGATTCAAAGTGCATGAGAAGCAGCACAAATCAGCCCCAACCCACCTTTCTTCTTCAGGGAAAAGAACAATCCTGATGCCCTGAACAGCTCAGGGAGAAGAAAAGAGTCCCTCATGGTTGAAAGGAGCAGGTTTTGCAAGATGACCCAAAATCACCAGTTCCAGTTCCCTAATGAGATTTGATCCATTCTGCCCAAACTCTTTAAAAAAAGTGGCAAAGTTCACAAAGTGAAAATAAACCCCCTCCCAGCAGAGGAAACGAAGTGCCTTTTGCTGATCAGCTCCAGAAGGGCTTTGGCTGATTTCAGTAGTGATACAAGAAAATAAGAACCAGTAAGAAAATAAAACTGAAAAGTCCTGCTTAAGAAATTCAGTCTCAGCACAGCTGTGTGGGGAAGGATGGAAAAGCCACACTTGACACATTGCATAAAAAAAAGGTACATTTTTAAAGCTTTTTGGAGGGAGTTCTGCAAGGCAGAGTGGACAGATCTTTATGAAGTCCCAATTTAGAGCAATGAAGTCACACGAATCTAATCTAATAATTAATTTAAAGTGAGTTAATCATCTTTGATGATCCTTCCAGCTCAGGATATCACATGATTCTGTGTTTCTAGTCTAGAATTAAGCTGATCAACAACTCAGACTGCTCTTTCTAGTGTGTTCTCACGGGCTGTGGGGTCTCCTTGGGGAGTGACCCCAAAGTTGGGACACACTCTCACTCACCTGTCCTTAACTCTGCAGCACCACTGCATTAATGATTGTCTTACCCCCTGCAGCAATGCAGGGCTGTTCTTTCCTGGCAAACTAAACTTTATTTTCAGATGTTCCTGGTTGTGTTTTGACAGTTGATGATAACTTAAGTCGCTGGTAAGTCCCAGAGTTCAGCCTCCCCTCGGGGATAAATGAGTGCCTGCTGCTTGCTCTCAGCATCACAGACAGAGCTGGTGAACAGCAGGGTTAGACCTGACCTTCCCCAAATGCTGCCTGAAATATCAGCACAGGCTTTAGTGGAATCACTGCTGGAAAACACACACTGGAGAGGTTTAACCCCTCAGCCTTCATCACCACACACCCCAGGCCCTCCCCTCCTGCCCACGGTGCTCCAAGGCCAGCAGGTCTGTGTGGGGCAGAAAGGCTCTTACACACTCTCTGGGGAAGCTGCTGATATTCCCAGACTAAGTTTCTACAAGGGCCGGGTCTCTAATTCTCCAATGGGGATTTAAATCTCCACAGAAATTAATAGGTCTGTCTTAGGTTTATAGCTCACAGAATCCCAGAACGGTTTGCGTTGGAAGGGACCTTAAAGATCATCTCCTTCCACCCCCTGCCATGGGCAGGGTCACCTCCCACCAGACCAGGCTGCTCCAAGCTGGCCTTGAACACTTCCAGGGATGGGGCAGCCACAGCTTCTCTTTAGAGATGCTGGAAAACCTCAGAAGTTGGTGGAAGAAGCCTTCCAGGAAATTACAGAAGCACATGGAAATTACCAGCACATGGCTCTGGGCAAAGGGGAGGGGAAAGGCACTGGAAATGTCTCAGGAAAACAGCCATGAAAGCCACTACCTGGATCACCTCAGAAGGGAAAGCCAGGATGAGCTCTGAGGAGAACGTGGATAAGGTTTCACCTCCCCACTCTCACAGCAAGCAAAGGCAAATACCAAGCTCATGGCAGTGGCAGCAGGTGAGCCAGGTCCTTATTCCCTGCCCTTGAACACCTCCTGCTCTTTCCCTTTTAATCAAAACTAAAGGAGAAGGGAGAAGCCCCCTCTGAATTAAAGGTGAGGAAGGGAATTAATACCCTGTGCCTCGAAACTGCTGGATCGTAGCTGCTCTGAGGGGAAAAGTCTCTCCCTCAGCTGTGCTGTCAAGCCTGATTACAGCTTAATCTCATTTTCAAATGCCAAGCCCGGAGGATTTAGAGCTCTCCCTCCCTCCCAGCTCTCCATTGACCCAGTTTTCCACAGGCTGTGTTTCTGGAAGGGGCTGGGAGGTGGATGTCTGAGCGTGGCTGCCCAGCCAGGCGGGCACCGCGGCTCCGACAGCGCCGGATAATGGGATAAATCCCGCAGGGACGCGCTGGTGTGACAAGCACAGCTCTGTCTGTCTGCTCTGCTCTTCCCTACCCCTGTTCCTCGTGCTAATGGGGGGGATCCCAGGCAGAGGAAAGGGCTGGAGACACCTCTTGTCACCTCAGCCTCGGGCTGAAGCAGCCCCTGTTTGTGGCAGCTCAGTGTCTTTAGCCCAAGCATTGCCCCCCACGACCCCTCCCTCTCTCCCAGGTACCCAGCCAGCCCAAAGAACACCAGGAAAAGATGAACTCTGGGATTGTAACCAGCAAGAAGGTTCTCCCTGCTGGGAAAGCCCCCAGAGAGCTCCCAAGCAGAGCAGCAAGACTCAGTTATTCACAGAACAAACAAACCAGCTGGGCTGCTTTGTCTCTGCAATGGTTTCCCAAGTTTCATTTTTGAGGCTGCTCTGTTTGACTCCAACTTGTGGCTGCAGGCAGCAAACATCCCACCAAGGATCCTGTACCTGCTTAATGGGAGCAATTCCACAGAGCAATTCCATCAGCAGGGACAGAGCCACCCCAGCCCCTCTGCTCTGGCTTCTCCTCATCACACCCAGATGGGACATCAGGGAATTGCCTCATTGCTGTATAAAATACAGCCTGCCTTCCCAAATCCCATCTCCTGTTCTTGCCTCCTTGATCCAGTCAGGACATATCAGACATCAAAAAGCTGCTTGTTCCCCACAGCCACCCTGGGATATTTTGGGGGGAGGCACAAGCCCCCAATTCCTTCTTGCCCTCAAGAGATTTTCATCTCTAAGCAGAAAAAAACCCAGACACTTCATGTGCCAAGTCCTGGAACACGACTGAATGCTCCCAGAGCCCGAAACCCAAGATGTAGAATTAAATTTTAAGCACTAAGTGGAGACAGGATAATTTCCAGCATTTGAAACAGCACAGCTGGTTAAGCTGCCCTGTAGACAAAAGGCATCAAGAGAATGGAGCCCCATCTACCCACCAAACCAATTTCAACTCTTCCCTCCCCTTGACCAACCACAAACCATCTGTGAAGATGTTCAAGGTACAGAGGTCCTGCTCTGACCTGACTTCAGTTCTTTTTCACACGGCATAAATTAACTCATAACAGGACATTCTCAAGGAAAACACAAACTATCTCATAACAGGACGTGCTCAAGGTAAAACATAACAATCAAAACGAGATTTCATGAAATTAAATCGAATCAAAATTTCTTACGTTGCCATAAGAAAAGCGACACCAACCTGGACAACTTCACCTACAGCGTCTTAGCCCAGGTGCTGGAAGGAGAAAAGCAATAATTTGGTTTTGAAAAGGGTAAAACTGTGAGAACTCAACCAAAAACGAGGTCTTTCTGGCAGCCCAGGAAGGGCACGTGTGGAAGGATACAGTTCCCAAAGAGCGTCAGGACGATGAAGTAGATGGAGGAGAACATCCCCGAGCGGACCCCGCCCTGCGACTCTATCCCGTGGTACATCACGGCATTCCAGTCCTCCCCTGTCAGGATCTGCAGGGAGTGGAGAGAGAGGAAGAGGGGGTGACTTCAAGGAAGGACAGAGAGGTCAGGGGGAGCCAGGCAGTGTGATGCCATCCAGGAATGCTCCCTGGGCTAGGGCAGCCTCACCTCGAGTGCTGGGGGCAGTTGGGGCACCACAGTACTTAAGAGTGTCCAAAAGAGGGACACAAAGATGGTGAAGGGTCTGGAGGGGCCATACGAGGAGTGGCTGAGGGCACTTGGTGTGTTCAGCTGGAGAGGAGGAGACTGAGGTCAGACCTCACCAGGGTCT